TCTTTTATATGCTATCCCGTCTTGTAATCTTTGCTATCAAATCAATGCGAACAGAATATACTTTGTTCCGGTTTTCCTATTTACTTTAGCGAATATTGAAGCAATTAGCAAAAAGTTTGCCTCAATGAAAGGCTATAGTAAATCGGTATTTACCTTAAGAGTTACTAACTAATCGTCGTTATCTTTAATTTTATTTCCCATTAATGCCTATTTAAGAGAGTTTTACTTTCGGTCGTTCGTACTCTTAGGCATATTGTTTCTCTTTATTAGAAAAATTTTCATTTTGTTAATGGCATTTTTTAGTGTTTGCTTAATGACACAACCATTATACAGCGATATTAATGCAATTAGTACCTTTTTCTGCAATGACATCAAGTATTATGTTATTTGACGAAATTATCGTAAAGATGGTTATGCCTTAATGTTAGATAAACGGGAGAATTTTCAATGTTTTTTAATAAAAATATATTTCAATTATATATTTTTTTTTTTTTTCATTATTTCTTGAAGAGAAAAAAAAAAAAACAAAAACTGGACTAATAACTTCTAAAGAAAATATATATATATATACAATGTATTTAAGTATACACGCATTGTAGACATATCGCTCACATACACATTTTTATTTAGTATGAATAACAACAATAATGTAACAGACTGGTCGGCTGGCTTGCTTGCTTGCTTTTATTTTTCTTGTTTGATTGGTTTTGCTTTGTTTGTGTATAAGCGCCAGCAGTCGCTCTCCGAGTAGGTTTTGTGCTTTTTTATACGATGATGACGGCATTATGCATACACATGCATAAAAACGTAAATACACATACAATTGTACACCTTCGAAACTAGCAAAAGCATATATATCAAAAGAACTAACATGAGACTTTCAATGGTATATTATATGAATTCAGTCTGTGTTCAGACGTTCAGTGCGGCACAGCTTTCTTGGATTTATTATAAAAGTAGTTTTGTGTTTACTTTAATTATATTTAATTTATTTCTTTAATATTATTATCTATTTTTGTGACTTAATTCAACAAAACCGACTAATTAGTAATAAACGAAAAACAAAACAAAAAAAATTTGTTTTTAATATTTTTTTTTTTTTTTATTAACATAAAAAGCGGTAACTCTTGCCAAATCGAAACCGGATTTTCTTAATTTTTGTGGTTTTGTTTCATAAATAAATTTCATAAATGAATTTTTATTGTAGTTTATGAAAAAAAAAGAAGAAGAAAAAAAATAGTAAAAAAAGAAGAAAGAAAGAAAATTATTTTTAACAAATTTTATTATGTGTTTCGCGTCTCAAAAGAGCAAAAAAAAAAAGTAATAGTGTGTGTTTGTGCATACTCACCTTGAGAATTCCGCGCTAAAAAAAAGTTATTAATTTTAAATAAACAAAATTTATAATACTCTTGTGAGTGTGTATATATGTGTATATCATCACATATATTTATTGTATTTAAAATTGAGCGATTTTGGTGAAAAAAATTTTTTTTTTTTTTACAAGAATAAGAACAACCCAGAGATATGCGTAAATGCTCCTTAATCGTCAGCGTGTTACATTAAGTTACCCGTTGACGTATCGCTCGGTATACTCGCGCTTTAACTTCTCAAATATCTTAGAAAACCGAAGTAATCTCGTTTTTTGTACTTTTTGTTTTTATAAAGTTGCAAATATCTTTTAAACGAAAAAGGTGTTCGCCGAGTACTGCTGCGCTAGGCGATAATCAAGAAAAGCCATGATTGCACATGGTACGTAAGTTTTGTGCAGTGAAAACCAATACTACATAGACTACATCTAATAGCTGTCATGTTTAGATAAACTACAAACTACATACTTTTTGCTAAAGTGTTTCCATAAAAAGTTTACATCAAACCCAAACCATTGCTTAAGCATGCATTGTCTACTGTGACGACAAATACGATGAGACATTTCAAACAGCTGATTTCGTGTGTAGATAGATGCGCTAAATCAAAAATTCATGTCTTCAAGATTCAAGCTTAACTAAGGCAGTAATTAATGAAAACGAAAACTTTTTTTTTTTTATAAAAAATGCTTGAAATATATGTTAATATATATAAACCATTTTAAGAAATATCAGTAAAAACTTGCACATCAACGTGTGACACGAATTTTTGGATTTGGCCTCACTACACCCTACACCATTTGCGGTATACGTGTATGCAATTTGTGGTTTATGTGTCTACATGCAGAAGAATTTGCGCTGGACTCATATAAGATTTATTACAAAAAATAAGTCTTCATATGACAAAGAATTCTGATTCTGATACTCGGCATTTTCGGCTTAGAATTAGTACAATGTAGCGGCATTTTTTTTGGCTCATAAAAAGAAGTCTTTTGTTTCAAGGCAGCGTTAGGGATATCCAATTCTCCCCATTTTTTTCCAGTCTATTCGCTAAAGTGATTAGTTCCTGAGAACGCCGCGAAATACACACAAATTCGGTTCAGTAAAGCGATTCACAATACCAGCCGCAATCTTTCTTTCATGATTCTTTCTTTGTTTCTTTCATTAGATATCAGAAAAATTATCCCCTACGTGACGTGAACTATTTTGCCTATCAAAGGCATCATAAATTAAGGCTTGAAGATGAGTAAGAGCTTTTTAAAAAACTTGGTCGATCCAAACATATTGATAGCGTGCTGTTCTCGGATTAAAAGGCAAAACTTGACAGTCTTGGGGATGTTTTTTGGAAGCTGCATACGCAGCATCTACCCAATGTTTTTCCCAATATGTTTATGTCACTTGTGTCTTTGTGTAGCAGCCTATACAAGCTCTCTCAACAGCAAAAGAAGATAAGATACGATGTTAATGCTCCTCAAAGGATATTCATTCGATCATTATTGAGATAATTTATTTGGCAAGCCTTTCGACTTCTACGCACTACTGCAACCTACTACAGACCCAAAATTCAACTCGTCTTCCAATATTCCCAAATCAACACACTACACAACCACGCTACAATGTTCTGGAATATGGGCACAGGCTGGTGTATATTAATATTTATTTTTTTGTTACTTATATGTTTTGCAAATAAGTTTACAAAGCACGGATTTAAAAGCTGCCTAATAAATAAGATCATATGCAAGCCTATATTAAAAACTCTAAGGCACTTGAGATTTGAGCTCATTGATCTTTAAATTGTTACTCGTAATCGCTTGCCTACTCTCGGCTACTCGTGCCGAGTATACATGTATATAAATATATAGTGTAGTGCATACATATATATGATATATATATATATATAATATAGCATATGTATATAGTATATATATATATATAGTATATATGTACTATACAATATATATACATATATTGATATTGATATGTTGAAGACGCGTTTGGTCCGAAAAAATTTGAGAAAATAAAATTGCTTGATCCCTAACGGTAGCTTTTCTAAGTGAATGTCCCACATTTTTTACTTTTGATGGTGTTTGTGTTAAGCAATGTGTCGACAAGAAGGAATTTCTATAACAAAAATAAGCAAAAATGAATTTTTTTCTCATTAATCAACATAGACGTCTCTAAAAAGTCCATGTTTTTTCTAAAAAGAGCGCAATCCTCGAAGACCGCTTATCGACATTTGATATCATTTAGTTCAGTTGTTGTTGTTAGACTTATATAATCGTGTTAGCGCTTATATGGAATTTAATTATTTTCAAAACAATGGCAAAAGTCCGAATTGCATTCAAACTGACCTTGAGCTTGCAAAAAGTTACGATGACGCTTCTCCGAATTTATTGTTACTTCCCCGATTTCAAAGGAGTTTAGAAAGACAATTATGATGCTGAACGCAGTGAGCGAATTCATGCCAAGGATGCTTAAATTAGATCTGAAAATTATTTTCGATTATGCAAGATGGCTGATGTCTGAAAAATGAGGAAATCGCGTTCCAACGGATGTCGCGTTTAGAAGTTACATTGAATGATACATCGCCCGCTAAGGATGCCATAATAGCAACTTTTCCAAAAAAAAAAAAAAGGTTCCGCTTTCTTACTTAGGTCTTAGGTGAGCTGCGTGCCAATGTATTATTTATTTTAATGTTATAATCATCGATAATTGTTACTTTCTCAAATCAGTTACAAAACAAGGAGAACAACTATGTAAGATTTTGTTTCCTTTTATAAACGGGATACAGTAGCAGATTTAAATACAAAGTGTAACATTGTTTGCACAGAGGCAGAGGAAGTAAAAATGGAAAATGTGCATAACTTGGGCTCTCTGCCTCTGTTAATTCAAAGCGTATGAAGACTTTCTTTGATAGACCAACCTCTACTAGCTACTAGAGATAAGAGTACTTATGTTACGTTTTTTAATGGCGATAAGCAGCAAAAGGTTTGAAAAGATGCAAGAAAGGACTACACTTAATTTCGCAATGACGTTGTACGTCTTAACGAACATCTCAAGAATAAAATTTGCATTCCTTTAGCCTACAAAAATAATCATTGAGCAGAATTGTCTGAGAAATATGATATATCGAAATTTCTTTCTGATCAACCCAAGATTGACAACCATTTTGTTTATAATGGAATTAATTTCGTTTTTTTGTTTTTTGTTTTTTTTTTTTTTTTAGGTAGAGCGTAAAGCCATTTAAAGTCATCGCCACATTGCTTTCGTAGTGTTTCACACTTTTCTTCCTTTTTGTTTTCTTTTTCTTTTTGTTATTACATATTTCTTATGCATTAGCCTTGTATGACAATATATTTACATACATATGTATGTATGTAAAGCTTACGGAACTTGGTGTTGCTTGGGGTGTTTATATTATTATTGTATGTATACAATTTAGTTAGTTAATGCTGTTTGTTATAATTCATTTCGTATATTTATCATTATCGGAACACGGTGGTGTATTGCAGTTCGCATGCAGTAACCAACCGTACCGTGTTTAAACTAATTTAGTATTTCTATTTAATATACACATATTTATTCCTAATTCAATTAACAGAATCTTTTTCTTTTTTCTTGCTTTTCTCATTACAGATTTACAACAATAACAATAATAATAGCTACCTTAGTGCAAATATGAGAACACGTTTAACAACATTGTGCAATAGTGTACATCGAGGCATAAAAAGTTATTTTCCTAAATGTGTATGATATTCCAAAATAGAAAAAAATCACATAAAATTATTATTTAATATATATATATAAAAAAAAAAAAAAGAAAAAGAACAAAGCTAATCGTATTCATATCCTTATATGCGACGTGTGCCCATGAAAAATACATGCAAAAATTTATTTATTTCATATAAATGAATTTATAAGAAGAAAATTAGTTTAAGATAAACAAGCGAGAAAATTAGTATTATTTTAAAACCAAATGAAAGTCATTTCATGCGGACGGCCATGAGAATGACTTTTACAATACCTATGCATCGCATCTATGGGAGATGAGTATTTTTAAACTTCTTTCTATCCTAGAATGGCATTGATATGTTCTCGAAAAGAATTTTAGAATTATATTTTAGTATATAAATACATGTTAAGAATGGTTCCCAATCGTCTACCGATATATGTTTCCATGTCATAAAATATGCCAATTATGTTATGACAAGGGCGGTTAAATTCTGCTAAAAGCAAAGTTATCTGACGTATTTAGTATGAAGATTGCTTTTCTTCTGCTTTTCGAAAACTTTCCTGGATCTTCCCTTTGTCCTAGTCCTTCTTTGGCACTAGCCATAACAGCTTGTAACCGTGTTTCCTTCTCATTCGTAAGAAATTTGGTATTCAAGTGTAAGATTTCCCCAAAGTCAATCTTGTTGCAAACGCTTATAGCTGCCTTATGACGTTACGGTCTATCAGTTCGGCTATGTTTGCTATGTTTGCTGTTTTTTTTTTTTTTTTTGTTTTTAATCGTTCCGATTCCCAGTAGAGTTCTTTTTTTCTCCTTCCAAATCCTGAATTATGAAAGAAAATAAAAGAAAAAAATGCGATATAAATCAAAACAGAGTAAGGGAGTGCTGTGTTTCTTAAAGGAGTACGTATGGTCATCCTAAGCTTTTTTTATCGCTTTCTTAATGTCTTTGTTCAGTCATCTATTTCCTTTATTTTCTCCTTGTTTTTCTATAAATTATTACCTGTCTTTATTAACTGCAGACTGCTTCATAATTTAGCGCCCTCCACATATGTATTCTCCACGAACTTAGGTTTAATCTAATATTGCGTTGTGCAGTAAGCACACAGCTTGTGGCCAGTATGATCTTCTTTTCTTTTCTTGCTTTCTTTTACATTTCAAACTGGTATACACTGGTAAGTTCTCCTTCGTCTTGTCTTGTCTTGAACTTTACGTTATTGGGCATAAACAAATTTTCCATGCTAGAGTAAGAACGAACTGTTTACTATCTATACATTGCATTGTTTGCATTTTCCTCCAGTTTACTAACAACCATTCATTGTCTCAAGCTTTCAATTTCAAATGTAATATTATTTCCCCTTATTTGTCGTTTGTTCACTTAAAAGTCACTCATTCATATTACCTCCTACTACGTATGCTTCAAATTTTTACTTATAGATGTTAAACTATTTTTATATCAAATCTATTCATCGCTGCCGAATATATTCTCGCTTGTTTTTCCTAAGAAATTGGCTTTTTTTATATATATATGGATATAGAATTTAAGTAACGTAGATGGATTGGAAGCTGCTTTCGTCTTTTCAATGCAATTGAAAGGAACTTACTATATGTAGAAAATGATGTGTGTCTAGTTCTAGACATCTATTTTCAATATCAATACCGAATTCCAACATTTGTAAGCTTATATTTGCGCATGCGTAAAATTGATTGCTTGATGTAAACGTAAGAAATAAGATTCAAATGAATTGCGATCGCTTGTAATAGTATGCCTTTTTTTTTGTTTTAATTCTAAGCTTTGCAACTAGTAATAAAAGTAGTCGAGAAACGCATAAGGATTTTTATATGTAAGCCGGTCTTTTTAGAAATAGCATAAGTCCAAAACAACAAAAGTTGGCTGCTTCCATATTGAGTTGACGCAATTGGTAAACAATATATTTATGATTATAAGGATTATGTGCACATACACACACACACACACATACACGCTAATACATTTTAAATACCTATTGGATTTAGGTCATTTACAAATAGAGATGCTTTATATACGATTTAGTATTGCTTAAGTAACACTATTTAAAATTAATGAATGCCGTAGGAATGAAATATGCCGCTTACGATATATTCGTGGTATCAATTAAAAGAAGGTTGAGGTAAACTTACTTAGCCGTATAAAATATACGAATCAAGCGAATAAATTGCGACGATAATCTTTCGTTTATACGCATGCTGCACATAATCATTTAAAATAATATTGAATGGATTATCTACCCAATTACAAAAATTTCATGTCAACATTTTTCAACGATAAAACCGATCCGATTAAGTAAACATTATAACTACTTGTGTGTTACTTTTTTCCTTTTACCATCGAACAAGACGAATGCAGCTTTCATGTATTGCATGTGTTTGTGTACTTACGCGCCGTGTATACGATCGTAATTTATTTTCATCTGTTTTTTTTTTTTTTTTGTTTTTTTGTTTTTTTAATTTTCTACTTATAGCCACTTTTCTCCTCTTACTTCAATTACGGTGATCTTCTTACTTATCACTCATAAGTTTCATTTCTGTTCTTTAAAACGTCATTGCCGGGAAAAAAAAAGACGTAAGAAGTTTGACGAAAACCATATACAAATATAGTGTTTTTTGTTGTGATTTTGTCGAGATAAAAGAGAAGGAGAAAACAAATAAAAAAAAAGAAAAAAAAAAAAAAAGAGGAAAACAACGAAGTTAAGAAGTAAAATAGAATAAAACACGCGTAAAGGCAGAAATTGATGAGGAGAGCAGAGCCGACTTTTTTTCATCTGGATGCCATAACAACTGAAAACCAGTGAGTGTGTTTCACATGCATAAATAAATATGTACATACATATATACATATATGCTATCGTATATGTTGTAATTGCTATAGTAACTACCTGCACACAAACGCTCACCAATTGATAGCTTTGTAAAACGCTAGTAAGAGTGAAACAAAAAAAAAAAGAAAAAAGTAAAAAGAATAAGAATAAGAGAGAAAAGAAGAAAAGAAAATAAACGAAAGGACCAAGAGTTTAAAGAAAAAAATGGCTGCCATGGTTAATATGAGCAACCTGTTGAGTGGTAAAGATTCGCGGTGGCTGCAATTAGAAGTATGCCGTGAATTTCAAAGGAATAAATGTTCACGCCAAGATACCGAATGCAAGTTTGCTCATCCGCCCGCTAATGTTGAAGTTCAAAATGGCAAAGTGACCGCCTGCTATGACAGCATTAAGGTTAGTTGCCGCTAATTAAATTAGTTTTAAATGTTATGAATTAGTTTTTCACATAAATATGCATGTGTTTACATATACATATATATATATATATATTATATATATTATATATATATATATTTACATATATAAAAACCAGTAGGCTTCTTTCTCTATATATCCCTCAAGCACTTTGTATATACATGTTGTATATGTATGTATGTATACGCCGTAAATTATTATTAAGGATTTTATAAACTATATATATAAATATGTAGCAAGAAATAGATTTATATATTGAATGCTTGCTTTATATAAAAGTGAAAATAGGCCAGCCATTGATGAGCAATAATAAGCTGAAAAATTAACTGAAAACTGTTTGATCGCTATTCAAATGCCTTTCTGTAAAGCCTTCCTATAAGCTATGTTATGTTATGTATTTATTTAGTTCAAAAATATGCTGAAAATCGGAGCGCAATGTATTTACTCGACGCAAAGCTTTTCATAGATGATTATGGCGATAATACATACACACAAACGTAACTTAACGAATATGTATTTGTTTATATATGTTTTAATTTTGCTTTTTGTTTATTTTGTCAATAAGTCCCGGGACTAAGTACGAAAGATCTCTTGTTTTAGCAAGATTTTATTTGGTTCATCAACATGCTTGTCCTGCCAGAGTAATACAAATCAATCCAACGTATCTATAATTGTTCGATGCCTCTTTCAGGCATCACACAGTGTCGGCTCCATTTTTGACATCATCAATTGATCCAAACATTTTTCCCTGTGGGGCATACATTGTTGCAACCAATGCAATTTGTGACACGGTGGTTTGCTTCCACTGTGAATATACACTGTGTACCCATTTGAAAAATGGCTCCTTCATGCAAAGATTTTCGTGCAAAATATTGACGATGAAGACATTTTCTATATTGCGGATGACATTTATGTTTTGCTCGCTTGACACATTCTAGAAGAAGAAACAAGTCTAAACTAGATTTTCCTGAAATAAAAAAGCAAATTATTATTCACGATAATGATGATTAGGATCCACGTTATGGAGAACAATGCTTTGATAAGATCTTTCTAATATTTTTCTTTTAGCTAATTGCAGGACTTAAATAAAAAGCACATGCTCTAGTCAGATTTTCTTATGAATTTTTAGGATCCTGATAGTTTCATCAGCACACCAAAGCACATGAAATTAAGGATGTGACGTTGTGTAAGAACATATAAATATTTGCAACCGATATACCCTCTATTCTGCGCTGGCGAATACTGTGTCAGCTTTGTCAACTTGAAAGCACAAGTCGGTTTTGTTGTAGTTGCTATAGCTTTAATTCTAAAAACTACGCACATCAAGTTTGCGTTATTGTATCTTACAATATATGTCAACCCTTCTCCCATTTCTGCTCTACGCGCTCTCGTTCACCGTCCTGCCAATCACGTTGAATTTCTTTGAGAAAGTGTAAATCTTTTGGAACACTATTCCGTTTGCTTAAGATCACCCTGATTAGTAATGACACTACTTATGATACCAATGATGTTGTTATTAATAGTGTGACTGATATCTCTAGGGATAAATACGGAACTACCGCAGTGTCTGAATTTTTACAAATTATTAATGAACGAAGGACTGTTGGCACCCAGGTAGTCACTGCTTGAAGCTTTTTATTCCGCAGAATCAATGAAGATTGATACTGGTGCACTGGTACTGGTTACACTGATATCGTCAACTTACTTTGTATGGCCTATGCTCCTTACCATATGAAAAAAAACTGTTGTGTGCGAAAATTTGCAAAATAGTTCTCACTTATCGATAATCGATCAGAGTCAATTGTCTGCTGACTTTGTTTACTCAGTTGAAATTGACAATAGCGCATTTCTTGTGCTGGTCACGAGCGTAAATTTCAAGAAAACTCCGAAGCAGTCTTCGAGCCTCAGGAATGTCTAGTGTGGCAAGTTGATTTTGACTTTAAAGCCGAAAAATTGAAGGCTGAAAATATGGTTCAGTACTATAACCTTGGTCACCGTACCGCGTACGCCGCGTGGGCATCATGCGCCTGACACTTTTCGTATTCAAATCGCTGAACCAAATAAATATTGACGGCAAGCCGCGAAAATACTGCTGCTAGCAATGTACCTGAACCTCAAGCTCATTCATGCTAGGCTGAAAAACGTATGTATAAACCAGCAAAGAGAGCTCTGCGACTTTTTTTGTAACCACCACAGAAGGATGGGAATATACCCACTTTGTCACAATGTTTGCAACACCACTAAAGCGAGCTTTAAGTAAAGTACATATGTTCTTGATCAGTTCTTGCAATTCTTGATCAATGAAGCCATGTCTGTTCCTATGTATGTCTGCCTTTTTGGTTACAAAAATATAGATATCGACTTGGTAAAACATGAAGATTGGTAATAGGAAAATAGCCCAAATTGGTCAGATCACATGGCTGCAGCAAAGTGTTAAGTGAACGCAAGTTCGTTTTGCTAAGCAAAAATTTGTGATTTTTTTGTTCATTACTCACAAAAGATAGACAGGTGAAATTTTCTGCGTTTACTACTATTTATGTGCAAAAATGTAAAAAATCGGCTATGCCCGATTAAACTTTCTTATTTTTACTTTTTCCGGGTAGTATCTGCTTATTAATCGCAAGGTCGACAAGACAGAAAGCACACTCCGCAAATGGGGAACTCTACAATAAATATGGCGGACAACATTTCTTTTTAATAATACTATCGATAAGTGTACGAAATAAAAAGACTTGGAGCGAGAAGGGGAAGCGTGTTAGCACTAAATCAATCAAGGTGTATATACCGACGAGTAAATTACTTCTCCTTAAGAATATCTTCAACTCTGCATTTTATCCTGCCCATGTTTTTATGACAATAAAAAAGCAGAGGGTATCAAAGATTTTAATGATTCGGCCCCAACTTTCTTATTTGTTAATGATCCATATTTTTATCTTTGTTTTGCAAAATTAAGAAGTGAATTATTTTTACGTTCAAGGATCAATTTAAACTTTCAGTTCGAGATCCAACTACATGTTTAGTCACAATAGAATTTCGTCCGATTCAAAACGTAAAAATCTGGAGGATGAAGGTCGCGAGTAACTATCCATTTATTTATTTACTTCTCCATTTGTTTATTTATTCTTTATTTACATTTTATCAATTCATTCATTTACATGGCTTTTGTACGTAGCGGATATTTAAGAGTTGTAATTAGCCAAGTATTAAGCTTAGCGCATAATTCAAGATGCAATTTTTTTACTTATGAAAGTAAAGCGTGCGTCACAAACATCAAAAACAAATAATATAAAAGAAGCAAAAACAATAACAACTACAACAAAGCAGATCTAATATTCTGGCCTATCTTAGGCTTTTATGGATAGCTTGGCAAACGTGCATGCTGCATTAAGAGCGGGACACAATGATTGCAGTGGCAAGTGCTGCATGTAGTTTTGAGAAAATTTCAAACTTTGTGCATTTAGGTAAATTTGGAAGCAACATAGAGCGATCGAGAGAGAGAGAGAAAGAGAGATAGACAGAAACACACACACACACACACACACACACACACACACACACACACAGAGAGAGAGAGAGAGAGGGAGAAAGACACACAGAGAGAGCGAGGGCGAGAGACAGAGAGAAAGAGAGATGATGCAAATGTTAAGTTTTGAGCTTTGCTAGTGCGTCGCCCGTGTGATTATGCTGCATACTGCTATGGCACTCATTGTGCTTAACTTGTTTATGTACATTACAATACTGCATTACTGCGTACTGCTACTGCGGTCATCGTGTGCGGTGCTTTATCTTTTTAATTGATTGCGCTGAGAGCGATTGTGAATTTTTCAACCATTGCTTAAATAAACGTAACCAAAAGCGTTGATCGTAATCTTTAAATGGATTAAATATGGCCCGGAACCGGGAGCTCTCAAGTAACCCATTTCATAAAACGAAAGTAAAATATTTTGAAAGCGACAAACTTCGGTGTGTAACCTATATGAAATTCCAACAACAAACTATTTTGCTTACTTATACTGCTTAACGATCATTGCTTTATTGAACAACCTGTAGCGCTTGTTACGCTTCCTTTTAGGAAACAGACGGATCTTATTCAACGTATCTTCTAAATAAATGCATTCTGCAGCCAAAAAAAAGGATTTCTAACGTTTGATTAAGACGTACAAGTGCCCTAATAGGTAATGATTGTTGGACAAAGATTTCAATGTTTCAATCGGCTATTTTTAAAGTTAAAGAAAACCAAGATTTTGGGAAAAATAGCGCATTTCCGTTTTGTGCAATCACCGCTCCATGGGCGAGTTTTTCTTTGTGTAGCCAAATGTCAAGATTTTGAGTATATTGCTGTCGCTTTTCATCTTAATTGCATTAGTTGGTTGTTGATAACATTTCATTGAGATAGTTCCGCTTTATGGCATCAACCTACAACAAATAATACACCCCGTTGATCTCCTCCCCTACCCAGCTTTATCGCCGAAGTTGCTTAGTCTTTATCTGAGTTTTCATATTTCCGCTTTGAGTATTGAAATGCATCTATTATTAATCAAACGTTACCGGTCAACAATGTAGTAGCTTTCAATTTAAGCAAAGAAAACAACACATTGCCCATATGGCGTTCTATGTGCCACAAATGGTTAGTAAGTCAAAGCTCGATAAACCAAGGCATATGTATACTTAAGTGGCTTAATCTATGGCACAAAAAGTTAGTTAGTCAAAGCTCGATAAACTAAGGTATATCTACACTTAAGTGGCTTAACCTATGCTATGGCGTAAAAATGAAAGCTATATACCTTCATATGAAGAAGTCATCGTTTTATTTGGCATCCTGCAAAAAATGATCCAATGACTGCTAGGAACTATTTAAACCTAATGTAAGCATTTTTAAATTCTCTTTTTTGTATTTGATTCAAAGAAGCAAGCATGCAGCTTATCAGCTATTTTCACATACTTCACAGTCTTCATTTAGCTTCGAGTATATTTGTTGG